TCCCGACAGGCGAGCTCCGAATGTCTGGCTCTCCGGACAAAGCTCGGGTCTCCGACGGCCGCTCGGTACGATCCGAGCATCCCCCGGGAACGCTCTCGGCGAGGCGCCGCTGCCCGATCGCATCCCGAGGCAGGGAACTCACCAGGAGCCGACGAGCGCTTCCGAAAGCCTCTCCCAGTCTCCTCCCAGGAGCGGCGACATACGCCCTCCCGCCTCGCTCTCGCGCCGCTCGCCCCCCGCTTTCCACCACCCGACAGGCGAGTTGAACCGCGGCCTGCCGCCGGCCACCTTCGCCGTCCGCCGCCGCCGCCCCCGGCCGCCGCGGCCGCCGCAGCTCTTCGCGAGCGCCGCCGCCGCCGCGGGGCGGGGGGCGCCGTCAGCTGCGGCAGCAGCTCCTCGGCCCCGCTTTGGCCCGCCCCGCCTCCCTCGCCGCTCGCCCTGCACCCTCCCCCCCCGAAAGGCGAGCTGAACCGCGGCCTGCCGCCGGCCCCCTGCCGCGGCCTCGCGCGCCCGGGGCTCGGGCGGACCGCGGGCCCTTGTGCGGGGCCGCGCGAGGAGCAGGAGCTTTCCGAGGTTGCCTGGCCCGCCCACTCGGGCCCGCCCGTTGGGACCACGGCCCGCCCGGCCAGCCTGAAAGGGCTCGCGCGCCTCGGAGGCCCGGCCAGTCGGTTGCTCTTGGAGGCCCGCCCGCCTGGCCCCCCGTGGGGGTGGGTCTGCCTGCCTGGCCGGCGTGGCCTGCCCGCCAGGCCCGCTTGGCCCGCCCGTCAGAGTCCGCCCACCTGGCTCGTCCGTCTTTCCCCGTCTGTTGGGCGTCGCGTCACGGGGGGCGAGAAAATGAGGGGGGGGCAGCGAGGGCTGCAGAAAAGGGGCCCTTCAGGGCCCCTGAAGGGGCCCTTTGACGCTCCAAAGGGGGCCTTTAGGGTCCGACAAGTGCATCTTTCTCTTCTCGCCCCTCCATATCTCGACGCCCCAGCCGGAGTTTGCTCAGGAGCTGTCATGAAAGAAGGCCTCCCACGGGGGGGGGTACGTTCACAAACGGAGAGGGCAGGAGTCGAGGGCTCGGGGCATACATGTCGAACGGCGCGCGAGCCTTGCCGAGCGAACAGTCCGCAGATGTGCGTTTTTTTCTTTGGGGAGGGCAGCTCTCTGGCCCAGGCCGCGACGCGCTCAGCGTCACTTTCTTCGCGCCTCCGGGGGTGACCCACCTCACTGCACAGCCTGGAGCAAGCACGCGGCCGCACGGCCCTCGGATTTTCTCCTGTGTCCTGCCTGAGGCCTGATCGAGGCCGCGCCCGAATCCGGCTCGCACGCGCCTCCTCCTTCCCCTCCTTCTGCTAGAGCCAAGATCGAGTGCTGGCTGCGGAGCGCAATCCGCACTTCGGATACCTCAGAGCTCCGGTAACTTCTTCGCAAAAACGAAATGCCACGATCGATTTTGGTGTCTTTGTTTGTTTAGCTATTTAATTTTCGGCCTCCAGGGGGGCGATTTCGGGGCCTGGGGCCATCAACAAACAACAAAGGATGAGCCACTTGCCCCGAGAAAAGGACCGAGAGGTTCGGGGGCCTTCGCAACGAGTTGGCGCCAGATGCGATGTGTGTGTGTGTGTGTGTGTCCAGGGCTTCCTCTCTCCCTGTCGCTCCGGGACTCCTCCTCTCCTCCGTGCATCGCAGCCTTATTTGCATACAGCGTGTCCCATGTTGCCATTCCGCCGGAGCAGTCACCCCTCTGCCCAGCTGCCGACGCAAAAGTGCGTGTGTGCATATGTGGGAGTGAACCGCCCCCTCCCGGCCATCCATGCCCGCATGGTCCTGGCTGCTGGCGGCTGCGAGGCCCGACGTGGTCTCTGAGGGCTCGGCCGGGCACAGACGTGCTCGCCTCACTGTTCTTTGACCTTCAGCGCATTGTCGCCGCGCGCAAGGCCGCGGCGCCCAATCGTGTGGGAGTGAGCCAGCCTCCAGCCGTGTACTCCCCCGCTCTCTGGCGCAAGGGGCGCGCCGGGGGCGGTGCCGGAGGCGCCGCCAGAGGGCTCCAGCGCCGCTCCGAGACATCCGCGCGGACCTCCAACAGTTTATGTTTATGCCGTTAGTGGATCCCGACGAGGGAGGCCCGCCGCCGAACTGGTACCTCCTGCGGGCCGCTGCCCGCGCGTTGGCCCCCAGCTCCAACGCCCATGCCTACGCCCCGCCTCCCAACGTATCCTGCGGCCGCACACCTGTGGGCGCAGCGCGGTTGCGGAACTCAGCATGTGCTCCCAAACCTCAGGCGCCGCAGCCAGACCTTGCCAGGTGGGCTTGCGCTCCCACCGCCGCGCTATACAGCGCAGGGTGGGCCCGGACAGCCTGCCTCGGCACCAGGCGGTCGATCCATAGTTGTGTGCCTCTGGGAGGCCCTTGGGCGCCGCAGGCTTGCTCAGCTCCTGCGAGGAACGTCGGGGCCGCCGCGTGGATCTGCCCGCCGCATCCGGTCCGCATCCCGACTACGACCGCTGGGCCGCGCGACGGCGCATCAGGGACCAGCCCCCCGCCGCAGCCCACCGCCCCGCTTCGTGACGCGGGCGACGCCTCGTCTGACCCTGGGGCCTGGGGGCTCTTCGGACGACGGTTCGGGAAGCGGCCGCTCTCCCATTTCTGGCGGCAGGAACGGCCTCTTCAGCTTCGGCGGCGTCGCCTGGTATCACACCGACGACGACCTCATCGCTCTGGACGACGGGGCCGACGATGACAGTGGCACCTGGCCTGAGGCCCCCATCACGCCCCTCGATGTCATGCATACCCATGAAGCATTCAGTGTGGCTTAGGACGACTGCGTCGCGCAGGCGCTACGTGGTAAGTGATTCCGCCTGCCTGCCTCGCCTCTCGCCTTGGATCTGGCTCGGGTGATTTGGGTGTGGTGTTGAGGCGACCCCCGCCCATCCCCAGCGCCTCTCCTCGTTTGTCGCGCTGTCGCTTTTGAGCTTTGGCGGTTCGCTGTCACTCGGGCAACCCCATTTTTTCGTGCCGATGCCTTCCCCGCATGGGCTCTGGCGTGTCGCTCTTCGGCGGTGCGCCCTGCTGCCCGTCGGCCCGCGGCCGACGGCCGACTGCGTGGGGGCCGACTAGGGCGACTCCGGGCGCGGACTTGCCCGCCCTTGCCTCGCCCCCCGCCATCCCAGTTCCCGCCCGGCCCCGTGGCCCGTCGCCTCGCCCTGGAGGGTCCTCGCCACCGCATGCGGGCTTTCTCGTGGTCGCACCTGCCATGCCTGGGCCGCCGCGCCCTTTGCGGCGGGCGCGGCCTCCCGGGTCTGACCGTCGGGGTGGTCCTTCCGCGCTGACCGCGCCAGGCACCTTTTCGGGCTGGTTCCCCGCGTCCCTCCGCCATCCACTGCTAGCTCGGCTGCCGCGGTCTCGCCGCACCCTTCCGCCATCCATTGCTAGCTCGGCTGTCGCGGTCTCGCCGAGCGGGCGCCAGCTCCACTCTTTCGCGCCAGCTTCCGATCGCCAGGGGTGGGCATTCTGTGCTGATCGCCGAGGCGCGGTGCTCTCCCCTCTCGCCCTTTGCTTGCTCCATGCGGGCCTGGCCCAGGTGATCGCCCGGGTGAGCCCTCTGTGCTGATCGGTTGGTCAGGTTTGCTTGAGCTCTTTCGGCTCTCCGCCGCGCCCCTCTCGGCTCCCAGCCCCCGCGGCGCCCTGGCGTCCTGCGCCCTGCCCCCGCCGCCCCGCAGTCGCGCGCCTGGCCCCCGGCCCCCGCCCCGCCGCCCCCGCGGCCGCCGCCCCTTGCCCGCGGCTGCCCCGCGACCGCTGACGCGCCGCCGCCCCGGGAGGACCCGGCCGCTTCCTTGCTTTGCCAGCGCCCGCGCGCGCGCGCGCGCCCGTTGGCGATGGTCCCGATGCTGGGGGGCGAGGCGCGCCCTTCGTCCGCGGCTTGCCCCTGCGCGCGCGCTCGAGCGTGGAAGGCGAGGGGCGGGGCCGCTGTGCGGGTCGGGGTGGCAAGTCGGATCCCGGCAGCACCCTGGGTGGTTGAGCGCCTTGAGGTCCCGTCCGCTGACGTGCTGCAGGCGACTGGGCGGGTTGAGCCGCTGGGCGAGCATGGCGGGCGAAGTGGGCGAGGGCGGATGCCGCGGACGGGGTGCCCATGAAATTGTTGAGCGTCTCCTCGAAGAGGAGGGGGCGGGGGCTCGGCCCAGTCGAAGTCGATCGAGGTAGGCTGGGGGGGGGGCGCGCGCGCGCGGCGCGTTCGCGGGGTAGCGGCTGTAGGGCCACGATATCGCCTTGAGGGTCGGGGCGCAAGGGCCGCGGTGCACTCGGGGGACATGAGCGCGGCGGCGATGATCCGTCATGGGCTTCGCCGACAGCCGCGATCAGTCAGTCGCGCAGGCTGCCCGCCATGCTGCGGCGAGCCGTGCCAACCCGGCGCCGCGGTG